GGGAGTTATTGTTCTATGGGTACAGAGTTTCAGTTTGGGATGATGAAAATGTTCTGGAAACGGGTAGTGGCAATAGTCTTACATGTGAATGTGTTTAATGTCATTGAACGGTTTAATGTCATTGAATGGTTAAAATGGTAAATTTTATGGTATGTATATTTTACCACAATAAATGTTTTTTTAAAAAAAATCAAGGTGAACTAAAACATGTAACAGGGGAGAGAATCTGGAAAAAACCTCTCTCCTGGAAAATTTCAGATACCAAACATAAATGTTGAAAACATTGCCTACAAACACCTGTTACTTGAAGTAATATAGGTATTTGTATTAGATTTGTGATATTAAGGTGGGAAAATATGGGTTTGATGAGTTGTAAGGTATTAAGCATCTCTTGTTACTGTTGATATTGCCTTCTCTGATAATGTCAATGGTCTGAAAAAAGGAAAAAGTTAAAGCTTTAAATGTCGCTAACAGAACAAAATGCATTAGGCTAGTTTCATAATCAAGATGGCATTTATAACCTTTTCCTTACTATTTGCTCCTCAGGTCAATAGCTGCAGTTAGCTGGTAGAATGGCAAAGTATAAATATCAGCAGTAAACTCGAGGCAACAATGTTTGTACAGCTTAAATGCTCACTCTGTGATTAGAGGAGGGTGAGTATCCCATGAATCACTCCTCATGTATTCTCTGACAGTCAAGGGAACACAGAAGGGACCTTAAGCGAAGCCAATTGCTACTTTCATTTGTGTTATTGCAACCAGGAAGCAGAAAATTTCAAGCTAAAATTAAAATCAAAGCAGGTGACAGTTCATGAATGTAAAATCGTACAATAAGCCAATGCACGTTTGGTCCAGAGTCTTTTATAAATTACACAAAAACTACTCTCATAGGGATTTTAACTCTGTCTCCCATCAGCATCCAGACTTTTCTTTGCACACACATTGGCAAACTGGAAGTAAACACTTGCACATTCATCATCTCACCCTGTTTCCTTTCCAAGAATATTTACCAAATACAAAGAACAGGACCATCTTTTAATCAAATAGAGTCTTCCTTGCCTACTTGTGAAGATCTGCTCAGATATACAGAATACACAGACTCTGCCCAAAATATAGGGATTCTACTGGTGTAACAACCTGACAAACCAAATCATCTCATGATTGTAAGCTAAAAATGTGCTGGCACAATGCAAGAACAGACACTAGAAGTGGAAACCAATCAAAGAGAAAGAATGAAAGAAGGAAACAAGAAAGACAAAGAAAAATAGAAGAGATGAGTCATACTATACTTACAACTTTCAGCCTGATAGTCTGGCACAAACTGCTCATCATTGTCAGGTACCTGAGCTGAAGAAGAAAAAAAAAATTAAAAAAAAAAATTAAAAGAGAAACTGCCAAGGCATAAGGAATGTCAAGCAAAATCTGTCAAGATCTTTTTAGGCTGAGATCAAACCTACGATTATTTACCAATGAGCTGCTATTTAAAATGGTATTGCCAGCACTACCTAGGAAGGGAAATAGAAGGGATCATTGATGTCAACTACAAAACATATACACTCGTATGTCAGAAATATGATGATGGCAGGTGTAGTCCCTTCGAATTTCACTTGCCAGATGGGAATAAAAGAGAAGCAAAATAAAAGCTATAGGATTTCTATTTCCTGTAGAGTTGTGTTTTTTTGTTTTTTTTGCAAGAATGGAGCAAAAGGTATTTCGATTCACCCACTGCCAGTGCTTAAGCAGTCGCTCTAAATTAATACAATTCTTTTAAGTGATGTGCAGTTATCACACATACCCCTATGCTTTCTTAGAAACGTCTGCTTTTGG